AATGGTAGCCTAGCTTTTGCCCCTCCATGAAGGAAAAATCTGGCCCTCATTCAAACCATTGGGATTGAGCAAAATTTTGCGTATTGTGCTTTGTTCTTTACAATATTCATTATGGTTATGATTTATAAGTTGAACACTGAGACAAAACCGTACTAAATGAGAAAGATGCACCATTATGAAAGTGGAACGAACTCAGTTGCCTGAAAAGGGTAGTTTGAGCATGTGTCATTGTGTGGCCTAAATAAGCTAACCCCCCCCCTCCCTTACCTTATTTAGGCCATATGTGGCCTAAATAAGCACTCCCTTTAAAATTTCAGTCTGTGGTACCTACACTCAGAAACATTGTCAGCTTCTCGGGAAGCATATAGTGCAAGCAGCTGATTAAGCACCCAAACACTATCAAACTGACAAGATCTTTCACTGTCTATAGCAGGGTACCCATTCTCACCTGGGTGAAGTAAGGAAAATTCGTGCAGTGTCTTTCTCCAACGACACAAAGTCGGGTCCCTGAAGGGATTCAAACAACGACTTTACGGTTGCGAGTCTGTAGCCACTTGGCCACCTACTAAGTTTTATGCTCAAAGCTACTCTGGGGGCTCTCGTGGCCTAGAGGTGTTCGCCTCTCAACTCTCATTCAAAGGTCCCGGGTTGCGACGGAAACATTTTCTTCTCTAACATCGTCCCTTTTCACCTCCTTTCCTGCTCTCTAGCAATGTTCTGTCGTCTCCTTTTGTCTCCCCTTTTTGCCCCTCCTCTGGGCTCCTGACTCTTTCTGCAGCCTTTCTACTGCTACTCCTTGACTCCTTCTTACTGCTGTCTTTCAGCCAAACCTTTGATCTTCTGGTAGGAAAGATCTACACCTAGCCTTCTCGGACAAGGGCGAAAAATCTTGGAGGTCCCGTGTGCAAGTTGCGTACGTTAAAGACCCCTTGGTGGTCTAAAATTGATAAGAGTAGACTTCGGCCGCCACCCGTGCAAAATAAAAAATTTCCTACCTATTGAAAATGTTATGTGTGTCCTGTATGCTCATATGACCGTAAGCAGTCGCGAGCGCCGCAAAACACCGTACCAAAAAAAAGCTACCCTGTACATAATGAAATCAGGGTCCTCCCCTCCCCCTCTCTTCAGACTTGAGCAGATGACAGGGACAGAAAAGGCATGCAAACTTCCAAAATAAAACTGCAGTGTTGCAAAAATGAGGAGCCCCTTTAAAACAATTTTAGGCAGGGTAACATTTTGTATCATATAATAGTATTGAATACTATAGTAATTTCAAGTGCTCAGGAAATAGAAAACACAGTCAACTACAACATGTCATCAATAAATTTTATTTCATCTCCGTGCTCGGCCTCCACCCTTTTTGCCAGTCTTCATCTTGCCCTTCTTTCTGGCGTCAACTTTCATCTGTGCGCGGACATCCTTCTTCATCCTGCTATCAACGACCTTGAACTGGCCCTTCACTCCCGCTGGCCGTCGGACTTTCTTACCAGCACCTTTCTTCGCCACAACGTACGTCACACTTGGCTTGGACTTCTTCAAAAGACCAGCCTTCTTGTAGATCCTGAAGAAAAGGTTTAAATAACTTAAAAGTTGAAGAGCATGTTCAGCATAAATAAAATAAATGAATGTCTACTTTTATTACTATTACTGTACTGACCTCATTAATAAAAAGTAAAAAGGAATCGGTGTGAGCCAGAGGCCATATATTAAATGCATGTGTCACCAAACCAAAAACCCCTTCCCCCAACTTATAAGAAGATAAGAAGAGCAGAGTCACAATTTCCCCAAACATTGACACAGAAGAATCTATTTCAATCTAATATTTAAAGTGGGAACAAACAGCAATGTAATAAGGTCCTATCTAGACGCCTTTACTATGCACACAGTGCTGTCTTGTGATCAGACCACACACCACAGAATCAAACTTACCGCCGGAAATCGGCTGTCAACACCGCGAGGGTAAGCGACAACAAATTTTAAGAAAGCATTTTTTTCTGCCAAAATGACCAATCTCCAAATATGTGAAAAGCATTCTAAAATCCACATTGTAAATTGTACATCAACAGAGATATTGAATGACCTCAAATGTTTTATTTTCTTATAAAATAACACACTCTTTGTAATTATTGTCACCCCCCGCCCCCAGCATGACTTTAAAAAATACAGAAAGCTCATAGTCATCGTTGAGTTCATGTTCAGCACAAATAAAATTATAATGTCTCATTACTATGAGACGGGTTCAAGAAGTCTTTGGTCTAAATGTGAAGGAATAAAGATAGAGTTTTGTAGCTTAGGACACATACTTTCATTTCTCTACATAGTCCAGTGGTCCTCAACCTTTTTCAATCCACGATCCCCTTTTGATTGATTGGCAAGTGGAACGACCCCTCATACCCAAACCCCAAAATAAAGTAATAAACAAACCGTTTTAACCCCCCCCCCCCAAAGCGCACAATCCAGCAGCGGACAATTAATAAGGCCTCCGTTGCATAGTTAATAGACCAATAACTGTACCCTTGATGTTTCAAATCACTCTTATTTCAAGCAAATACAAATCGAAAAAAAGGAGAGAAAACACTCACACAGATTTAAAGAAAAATAAATTAGTGAGAGGGCTGTGCCTTTAGTTCAGCAGCCAGTCTTGAAATTCTTGGGAAAGTCTTGGATAAAGCAAGGCGCATATCATCAACAACATCCAGCTTGTTCCTTGCTTTCGTCTTGAGCTCCAATAGGGTAGAAAATCCACTTTCTCAAAGGTAAGTCGAGGCAAAAGGGACAATGACTTGAAGTGTTGTGCTGACCTGAGGGTATGATTCCTCGAGTGAACACCAAAACTGTGCCAGAGATTTCTCAAGAAACGTGTCGCGTGCTGACGAATCATGTCTCAATTCCAAAAGCTTGTCTTGAATGTCATCTGCAATGACAGTGATGTCTAGTCCAGGAGTGAAAGGGTTTCTCACAAAAGCTTCTTCACCACAGTCAAGGTCAGGAAATAGTTCTTGAACTCATCTTCAAGTGATTTCAAATGAATAGCATTTGTCAAATCCTGTGGATTTAACAGCTGTGAAAGGTTGGTAAACATACCAGCAATGTTTCTCTCTGTAACTTTCTGGTGCCAATTCTGAACTTTTGAAAGAAAACCCACTCAAAATGCCTTTAAATTGTACAAAGTGTGTCTGTTGACCTTGAAGTTTCAAGTTGAGTTTGTTGAGGTAGTCAAACATATCCAGACATATATAGGCAAGTCTTTGGATCCACAAATCATTTGAGAAGTGCCTGCTGAGCTCATCTTTTTCCTGCACTTTCAGGAAGAGCTTGATCTCTCTCGGCTCGAAGACCCGACATACAACGTTTCCTGTCGATAACCATCGAACTTGAGTGTAGAAAAGCCAGTGTGTCATGATCTGCACTCATGTCAGAACAGAGTTCCTTGAAAAGTCGTGTATTTAGGGGGCTGCGTTTCACATAGTTGACAACCTTAACAGTAGATTCCAACGTTTCCTTCAAAGTGGGATTGAGAGTTTTGAAAGCTAGTGCATAATATCTATGTATCATGCAGTAATTGCCTTAAATTGCGTGTGGTGCTTTGTCTTGCATTTTTGTCTGAAAGCCCGACTTATCTTATCATGGCTGGGGCACCATCAGTACAAATACCACACACATTGTTCCACTCAAGACCCTCGTTAAAAAAAAAGGAGGATACCTTGTTCATGACATCATCAGCTGTTGTTGTGGTGTCCAGTGGGGTGCAAAAATAAAAATTCTTCTTTCTCATTTTTTTTCAAACACGTATTTCACAAAGACCAGTAACTGTGAGCACGATGCCACATCAACTGATTCGTCAAGCTGGAACGAGAACATAGGGGCAGCTTTGATCTCCTCTACAACCTGTTCCTTAATGTTTGAAGACATACGTGGAATATGCCTCTTGTCATCATCATTTGAAAGTGGAACTTGCTGCAATTTCTTTGCACTAGCCTCACCTAACACCAGACATTCAACTGTGCCACCTTCATTGTGCAAAGCTTTATAAGTGTTTCTCCAATTGAGTGTGGTTTCTCTCTGTCTCTTTCTTCCAACTTCTTTATCTCCTTTGTCAAATTTCCTGACATAGCCTTTCTTGTGTGCTTATTTTTCTGCCACACAACAACATAGTTTTATCATTTATAGATTTTTCTTTCTCAGCTAGGCTTATGATCTTTTTAGAGATGACGAGCTAGATGCCTACATCGTACTACATGGGATTAGAAAGAGACAATAATAGGGAAACGGGGTTTTCGTGATAAATATTTTTTTTACAGTGACATCCCTTGGGTGAGGGTTAAATCTACGCCTGGGCCTAGGCGTACACAAATTAAACTTGGGCGAGAAAGGTCAGAATGAAAGTATGCATGACTATCACGCTTCCCCCTGTGACCCCCTTCTCCGAAGCCAGCACCCATGTAGCTTGTCATAAACGAGGCTTCAAGGTATTGTGCGTTGCCCTATGGCTAGGCTATATTTTACATTGAAACAAAAGAAAACACCGCAAGCCAAACTTGAGATAGGCCCACATAAACAGGAAGGGCAAACTGGTGTAGCCTTGTTGATTCTTTGGTCGTGTTTAGAAGTTCAGGTGTTTACCTTTTTTCTTATCTCAGCCAATTGAAGAGGGAAACTTTTTTGAAAATTACCAGGTAAAGAAAAAGAGCAATGTTTTAGTTTTCAGAGGGTCATTTAAGCACAAAATCCTCAATGATCTCGCGACCCCCCAAGAATGGTCACGCGACCCCCCGCCGGGGGGTCGCGACCCACAGGTTAGAACCCCTGACATATAGTAACACATTTCTGCAACCTCTCTTTGACCTTCAAAATTCTTGAGAAAAAAATGACCCAGAATGGGCCCCTACCCAGTCTTCCACAGCTTCAATGATGTCATCGTTGTCAAGGAAAAGACTTCCTTTCAGTGATTAAAAAAAAATTAGGAAACAGAAAAAAGTCTGAATTAGGTCTGGTGAATAAGCTAGGCGTGGCAGGATTTCAAAGCCGGACTGTTTGTTGTGCCCTGTGCGCAGAGGCGTTGTCATGCAGTAGGAGAACCCCATTACAGAATTTTCCACGCTTTTTTCTCACCAATTCGGACCGCAATTTTATCAGTTAACCCAAATAGTAGTTCCCTGTGACTGTTTTTCCATTTTCCAAGTTGTCAGTCACGATACCTTCACAAACCCAGAAACACGACAGCATCCTTTCCACTTGACAGTGTTACCTTTGCCTTCTTTGGTGAGGGAGAAGGGGTTTTCTATTGCATGAAGGACATTTTTTGTTCTGGATCAAAATGATAAATCCATGTTTTATCCATAGTCACCATGTTTTTAAAGAAATTTGTGTCAGTGGACTCAATTCAAAGGAAAGTTTTGCAGGACTCAGACATCTGCTTCTTTTGCTCACTTGTCAAAAGGCGGGGTACCCACCACGCAGACACCTTATTCATGTTAAGATCGTCATGGAGAATCATTTCAAATGACCCTACACTGATTCCTGTTTCACTTGAGAGCTGTTTGACAGTTATACGTCGGTCTTGCAAAACCAGTTTCTTCACTATGGATACATTCTCTTCAGCTACCAGAAAGGATGGGCGCCCTTCATGATCTTCATCCATCACCGACACGAATCCAGATTTGAATTTTCTTACCAGTATGTCACATTATTATAACGAGGACATTTGTCACAATAGACTTGGACCATTTCCTGAAAAAAGTCCGAAGAGGATTTTCCTTGCAAGTGTAAAAACTTGACAACTGAGCGATATTCAACAGGCTCCATAGCACAGGTTCAGCAAAGAAAAACCAAACAATTTTGTGCATGGTTTCATTGAACACGCTGACTTACTAGTGTCTTATTAATATCGGATTTTCCTCAAATTTTGCATGGTGTGTTCCAAAGAAATTGTCTAAAGGCTGGCGAAATTTCATTACTCTACCATGATTCCTTCATACCCAGACCAAAGACTTTGAACCCCCCACCCCCATATTACTGAACCAACCCCAAATAAAAGAAATCTGTGACCCCCGGGGGCGGTGCTACTGACTGAAGTGTCTTTAGGCCATTCCCAAAGGGGGCATTAACATGTTCTTATAATGGGCCTGAACTGCAACACAGAACTGCTGATTTTTTCCCCTAATCCTTACTATCGTCATTTTCCTCTACTTCTTTTGTATGTTTGTCAAACTCTTGTGACATGCTATTTCCGGGGTGCCTTGATAGTCGAAGCAGACTTTGTGCTGTTGAAACTAGAGAGGCCTGATTCCCTGTAAAGATTTCTCTGTTGACATCAACCCCTTGGCGGTCATATGACTGTATGCAGTTGCGAGCACCGTAAAAACTCTACTAAAACTAAACTAAAAAGAAATCTGCGTATGCCTCCAGAGGCCATATTGAACCCACAAAGTGTACAGTGAAAACCTGATATAACAGGGACGGTGGGACCAGAGAAAAAGTCCTGTTATATCCGATCCCTGTTAAATCAGAAATGCAAGAGAAGTAAGCATTTCTGGACTAATCCAGCTGTATTCATTCATGGGTAGTTTCCCTTGTCACTAGTACCTGCGAATAGGGGTTTTGGCCATGTGGCAAGTCTGCGCATGACAAATTACGCGTGTGTGTAGCTAGGCTTAGGGCTAGATCGAAGTCTGCAGCACACCGCAGCCCTCTCTCGCTTCACCCGCTGTGTGTGCTTGCAGTGATATGGCTTGCGTGGGTTTGCTCCAACACTGCGTTACTCTCTTTCTTTCTCTCTCTCTCTCTTACTTTTTACACATTGTTAACAAGCTTTTGTCCTTACTATAACCGATTGGGCTCCGATGAGGCCCTGTTATTGCCGATAACTTTAAATAGAAACAAAGAGTAGGAAAAAACCAGGGATTTTAAAAACCTGTTATTTCCGGGCCTGTTATACATGGTTTCCACTGTATATGTGCAGGTTTGTAGATAAATGAGGAATGATAAAAGTAATCTCACACCTGCCAACATTGCCTGGGCCAAAATCTGTAGTTGGCACAAATTTTTGTCCAAAAATCTGTTGTAGGCTATATTACCACTTGCCGCATACTTAATTGGGGACCCTTATTAATATTTGGACCCACACATACATGAGTGTGTTTGCGACTTCAAACAAATGTAGAAAATGACAAAGAGCAAAACACAAAAAATAGCAATTACAATGAAACATAAAATTTTTATCCAGCTTAAATGAAAGAAGAGTAAATTCTAAGAACTGTTTTTTTTTAATTTTAAAAATCCATTCATAAATAAAAAAGTTATTGGGATTTATTTTTTGTTTCAAAATTTTGGGGGACTTTCATAAAGGAAAATATCGCCAAAATGTGGGACATGTCTTGATGTATTTTGAGAAAAAACTGTTCATAAGTCAGTAATGAGTTGAAGTAGGATGAATGAAACTTGGCATCTTCGTGTGATTTTAGTGCAGAATCTAGTTCTGCTATCACTTTTTCGTTTGAAGTCTATCTTTGGATCTTTAAATGAAGATATGTTGAATTGCGCGACATCGCTTGAACTGTGGCCCATCACCTCTCTACACTTTAGCAAAGCAGTATCGGGTAAACCCGCAATGACGTCATTGGTAACCTGTTTAGTTTTAGCAGTTTTAACATTGTATTACTGTAAAAACTCTGGTTTTAGGCAGTCAATCACATGCCGCCTAGCAATCACGCGCCTCAAAATCGGTGCATCTGCAGTTTGACCAAAAAGTCTGTAATATACCGATTTTTCCTGTAGGGTTGGCAGGTATGCAATCTCTTGGTTCTAAGAATTGTTACGTCAGGTAAGCAAGAAGATAAGTATAAACTGTAATCTTACTGTTTAATCTGTTGCCACTTCTCTTTTTCAGAAACATCAATATTTTCTGTGACAGCATTAGCTTTTTTCCTCGCTTTCTCTTGTCGTTTCAGCATCTGGAAAAGACAAAACGAGACAAAATGGTCAATATACACAACTCCTACTCCTAGGACTGGAAATGCAGCTGAACACATATAAAACTCATGATTGGAGATCTCTCAAACCAGAGTGCCAAATACGTCTTGTTACTAATACATCTATGTGTTTGTTGCTGATTTGATAAATTTGGTCATTTGTTTCTTTGTTGTAATTTACATCAAACTTTGGGTTTGACAACCTTGGAACTCACAACAACAAACTATTTCTCTGCATTTTTCTGCAAAGTCTCATTCAAGAAGCACTCAAATGCAGTACAAAAAGTACAAGTGACCTTTATGATTTTGTGTACATTTTCCAGCAAGGGCGCAACCTCCCTTGCCTTTCATTGTTTTGACAGCCAACATTCTACCTCTTCACTCTTTCCGGATGTCTCGCTGATATATCGGCTGTGATAGGGTGCCGCCTCAGTATTGTTTCGCTTTAACACAATCCGTCATTTATAATTACTTTTTATTGCTATTGAAAAACTCGGAAAGGATTTAGAAACCGAAAACATCTAGTTTCACTTTGTCAAAGTGTGGGTTTGGGAGAAAACGAGTGAATTAGTTTTTGCGGTCTTGCATCAACAAAACGATGTAACCGGACTCAGTATAAATATAACTCAAACAGAAATTGGAATATTGCTTTCAAACAAAAAGCTGCGCATTCTGAAAATTATGGATTATGCTCTTGGCATGTATACGATAAGATAGCTATACTGATTTGCTTTCACATATTTGGTGAATGTAATTTTCTCCGTCAAAATGTATTTTTCTCATCACCATCGCCATTTCTAACGCTTCTACTGCATACTTCTGTTCAAAATTAATCCTTGTTTCACATTGGGATGTATTCTTCATTCAATTTTCTTCAATTTGATGTATCATATGTTACGTCCTGAGAGATGGTTATGTTTCTATGCAGTTATTTTGTTAACCACATGCATAGACAAATCGAGCCAAAGGTTATTTATGTTTAGACCCCCCCAAAAAACTACGCCCGGAAAGAGTTAAGGCAGACAGATTATTATTTTTTAAAAACTTATTCTGACAAGTTTTTGGGGGTTTTGTTTTTCAACTTTTTACAGTGCTTCCACCAGCTGAAGCTGAAAAGTAAGGAAAATTCTGCAGGGGGTCTGGGGGCCGCAGAGGCATCCAGCAGGGTCTCGCATGTCACAACCTCGGAACACCAATTAGAAAATTTCTTGACTTCAGTAGTTTTAGGCTGGTTTTAGCATAAATTTCTTTTAGCAACACTTCCTTTCGCCCGTTCACACAAGCCCAGCTAGGCCTAGGGCCCAGGCACACACAATGAGTAGAAATACGGTCTCTGGGCACGCGTGTCGAGTAGCGCATTAAAAATAGCACAGCAAGCTGCTTCTATGAAGGGGGGAAGGTGGTATTTTTCAAATCTCCCATTTTTCTTTAAAAAAAAATTATTATTATTTTGTTTCAAGTGCACCTCACTCAAATGACATGGACTTAAGACCTCTACGGCGGCGTAATTAGTTCAATTATTCCGTGTCTGTGTTCGAGCTTCGCATAATTTTCTGACAAAGGTAAAGAAGAAAAAAAAACAACCCGGGACCGGAGGCACAGCTCGACCTATCTGGGTTATACTGTACGTCATGAGTGGACCAGAACCAGACAGTGGGTCCACCCACACTGAGACTGATGTCCTTGCTAATGAGCTTAGCTGAAAATCAAAGAAAATGATATGGGTTAAACGCCTCAATCAAACACTACAAAGAGGCTAGACCTCAGAGTTAAAAAAAAGTTTTATTAAGAGTTTTTCGCTACTTGCAACACAATAAGGTCATATAAGTGCCAAAGATTAGAGGTGATACTAGAGAGTAACAAACACAAAAAAGAAGGAGGGGAGATAAAGAAGAGATAGATGTTTGATAGGATAGAAGGAGCAAACCACACCAGAGCACCCGCCAACCACCCGCCTTCAGAGTTTAATGTCCATCTCCGAAAGAACCGAGCCAAAGGGGAATTTTGTATAAAGTGCCTTTCCCAAAGACATAACGTTGAACTGAACTGAGGCTCGAATCCCCGAACCTGCAACCTCCACTTGAGAATCAGTGCATGGTGTAGGAACGCACACCCCCTGGCAACGAAGGGGTTAAATGGAGAACAAGCAGGACAATCATTCTGTAATGTATTTTACCTTTCTCTTTTTTCTGGCTTTGGCTTCAGCAATCTTCTTGATTGGCTGGGCGTCAACAGCTTTCATTTTCAGTTTGTACTCTTCCATTTCCTCCTGCAACGATTCACAAAATATAGAACGCAGTCAATACAGCAAAGCTGCAATCTTTGTTTTATGTTTTAGTAAGCGTTTTACAGCACTTGCAACACAATAGGTCATGACTAATATAAGTGCCCAAGATTAGAGGTGTTACAAGAGAGTAACAAATACAATAAGGAAGCAGAGAAAACAGCGATAGATATTTGACTTGTTTGTTGATAGGAAAGGAGCAGACCACACCAGAACATCCACCAACCACCCACTTTGCAATCATCTTTTTAAAAAGAGTATGAGAGAAATGAATAACCTACCATCAATGTTATTTCAACTTATTTACATTAAAGCATAAATTATGCAAACCCAAAAAATATTCTTTTAATGGTGCAAATTGCAACACAAACCTATAGTAAACCTTACAAAAACATATATTTTAAAATACCGCCATCCCAACCCTCCTTCTTCTATTACTATTAGTCAAGTGAACACTTACAGCCAAACCAGCTCTAATGGCCATTTGCATAAGACGATCACATATATAAAATTATGTAGAAACAGCTATTGGGGGCTTTCATGGCCTAGAGGTTAAAGTGTTCGCCTCTCATTCAAAAGTCCCGGGTTTGAATCCGAGTAGCGATGGGAAAATTTTCTTCTCTAAAATTGTCTCCTTCACCTCCTTTCCTGCTCTCTATCAATGTTCTGTCATCTGCTTTCGTCTCCACTTTCTGCCACCACCCCCTCACCTCCTGACTCTTTCTGCTTTGCAAAATTCAAAATTTCCTACTAACTGAAAATGTTCAAGGTGTCTCGCACGCTCATATGACTGTATACACTTGTGAGTGCAGTATAACACCTACAAAAAAACAAAAACAAACCCCAAAACAACCAACCAAACAAACCAGCCCAGCTATTTCCCATTCTCCCCCTTGCTTTTTACAAAATTATTAGAATGACAATGTGTAAGACGGCCGCCTGTCTAAGACAATTTCAACAGTATAAAGCAGTAGTCCTTAAAAAAAAAGTGTTCTGAAATCATATTAGGCAAGGGCATAAAACGATGAGCTGTGCAAGTCTAGAAGGTGTTCAAAGGTAAATTACTTTTCAGCACAACATTTGAAGATAGTGTTCATATTGACAAATTATGGACTATTGCCGTTCTTTTCATGCACGACTTTTAAATATGTCGCTATTAGTATACCTGACTGCAGCCGTGTTGGTGAACAGATTAGAACTGAACAAACTAAAAAGCCAGAAGTGGAAAATTGTTTCTAATTTCAATCCTGACCCTGCCAGTATGAGGTAAATAAAAGATACTACATCCCCTAGAAAGACAGAGACTCCATAACATATCACACTACAATCAATAGGAAATCGAAACCATGTCTTTCACATGCAAGGTGAAGGGCCCTACACTTACTCATCTCCCTACGACACTCCTTGAGCCTAAAATACAACATGTAAACATACATAAACACAATAGACCTGCATGTGAGCTTCAAACAGATTTTCTGAAAATTTTGCGCTCACCGCACAACCCCCCCCCCCCCCCCCCCTTAAAAAAAAATCCATTTCCCTCATTAGGGCTTTTGTGGGAGTCATAAAATAGCAGCACTTGTAGAGGTAGATCTACATGATGGGGGCATTAGCCCCCTAAAAGGAACCTGTAATAATGGCCCTTCAGAAAAGAAAAAAAAGCCAGCAAAAGTCCAGAATGAAAAAAAAATAACAACACACCCCAAAACAAACAAGGAGCATGGCCTACATTGCTTTAATAAGGCTTGATACAACGCAATAGAATTGGAATGTAATGAATCCTGCATATAATAATTGAGATGAAGATCTACATCTACATCTAGATCTAATAGAACAAGTGAATAGGAATTTAATTTAAAGCCTTTCAACGAAATCCGCATCCGAACAGAGAGGGACTCAGCTGAGTCTCATAATTTACGCACCTGAAGAAATGCACTTTGACCAACATTAATATTACAGCACAACCTATAATAGCTTGATAAATCTAGATCAAGTACAACAAGTTAGTAGGCCTTGAATGAATCCACATTTGAACTATCGACTATCGGCCAACAGACGAAATTCAAAATGGCCACTCAAGCATGAAACAGAAAGTATATCTAATTTATGTCGTTGTACTTTTTCGCATTCGTATTTTTACTCAGGTTCCAATAATTATGTCGGAAACGCCGACGCCGGCAGTCAGCACTAAAACGAAAGTGCCAACAAAGCCGACCTGAGAAAAGTGGGGCGCTGGCGATGGGCCACTGACTAATACAGGTGGGCTTAGCGATAGCACCAGCCGGGTCGAGGGTCGGGTCGCGATTGTTGGCAAACACGCAGGTTTAACATAAAATAAAGGAAACATGACAAGTGATATTAATAAACTCTTCTGACTTTCAAAAACGGGATGAACATACCTTGGACACTGGCCTCTGTCGTTTGAGATGCTTCCTTTCATCGCTAGCAAACCACTCAGGCAAGTTGTCGTCATCAAACATGTATCTGAGGTAAAGAAACACCTGAAGCAGTTAAAGAGAGTACATGACGTATTTTTAAATCTTTTTCAGCAGTTGCTTAAATATATTCTTGGCCACGACACTGAACAGAGTTAGATATAGCTTTCCCGGCCAGGAACAGGAAGCCCACAATGAAGAAATATTCTTAGTTGGTTGTTGATTTTGCTCAGATGCAAACTGGATTGACAGAATGTCACAACTTTAGGTATCAGAACTACTGCCTTACTCTAAAGATTAGTCGATAAGCCATCTCTATAATAAATGGGCCTATATTAGACCTGCATGTGAGGCTCAACCAGATTGTCTGAAAATTTTGCGCCCCCCCCCCATAACTTGTAAAGTGTTTTACAGCGCTTGCAACTGCATAAGGTCATATGAGCGCGCGGGACACACCTAATATTTTCAGTCGGTAGGAAATTTTGAATTTTGTCCAGGTGGCGGTCGAAGCCTACTCTTATTGATTTTAGACCACCAAGGGATCTTTGACGTGCGCAACTTGCACACGGGCCCTCCAAGATTTTTCGCCCTTGTCCGAGAAGGCTAGGTGTAGATCTTTCCAACCAGAAGATCAGGGGTGTGGCAGAAAGACAGCAGTAAGGAGGAGCCAAGGAGTAGCAGTAGAAAGGCTGCAGAAAGAGTAAGGAGCCCAGAGGAGGGGGCACAGGAGGTGAGGTGGTGGGGGCAGAAAGTGGAAATGAAAACAGACAACAGAACATTGCTAGAGAGCAGGAAAGGAGGTGAAAGGAGACAATTTTAGAGAAGAAAATTTTTCGGTCGCTACCCGGATTCGAACCCGGGACCTTTGAACACCTTAACCTCTAGGCCACGAGAGCTCCCTGCACAACCTATGATAGGTCTTAACACAATGGAATTGGAATATGAATCCTCCAATGACGTCTATAATGATCTATAAATCTAGAGTAGAACAAGTGAGTCGGACTTGAAAGAATTCACATGATCTGAACAATCAGTAAATAAACGAAATTCAAAATGGCCGCTCCAGCATGAAACTGAAAGTAGATAATTTAGGCCGCCGTACTTTTTCATATTCGTATTTCTACTCAGGTTCCGACAATTATGCCGTAAACGCCGACGTCGGCACGAATACGAAAATGCTGACAAAGCCGACGGGAGAAAAAGGGGGCGCTGGCAGTCGGCCAGGCCTCGCACATTGACTAATACAGGTGGGCCTAGCGATAGCATCGGCTGGCTCGCGGGTCGGGTCGCGATTGTCGGATTTCAGACGATTGTCGGCAAACATGCAGGTCTACTATATATACAGTGGACTTGATTATCACAAAATTTCTCATACAACGAAAGAGTTTCAAATCCATGTACCCCTCCCCCCTATATATTTTATGCACTTCAACTTGCCTTCCCCACACAAAGAAATTCTCCAGTGCTTTGAATTTAATGTTATTATGGGGTGACATTGTGTAAACATGATACAGTAAAACCACAGATGAGACCAGAGAAAAAGTCCTGTTATATCCAATCCCTGTTAAATCAGAAATGCAAGAGAAGTAAGCATTTGTGGACTAATCCAGCAGTATCTATTAATGCCTAGTTTTCCTTGTCCCAGTACCCACGAAAGGGGTTTTGGCCGTTTGGCAAGACACATTACGCATGCGTATAGCTAGGCTTAGGGCTAGATCGAAGTCTGCAGCACACCACAGCCTTCTCTCGCTTCACCCGTTGAGTGTGTTGCAATGACGTGGCTTGCGTGGGCTTGCTCCATCACTGCGTTACTCTCTTTCTCACTCACTTACTTTTTACACATTGTTAAGAAGCTTTTGTCCCTGCTATAACCGATTGGGCTCCGATGAGGCCCTGTTATTGTCGATAACTTTTAAGAGACAGAGACTAGGAAAAAACCGGGGACTTTCAAAATCCTAAAAATCCCTGTCATAACCGGATCCCTGTTATTTCTGGGCCTGTTATATATTGTTTCCAAGGTACATAAATGGAGCCATACAGCCAAGGCCGAAGACATACATGAACAAACCAGCAGACCTGCAGTATACTCATTAGTCTCACTAGAGTTGATGGACCATTGCAAATAGAACTATTGCTGAAGTCTAAACCCCTATGAGAAGGGGTAACGGAATGCTATGTATCAAGTGGAAATGGTAAATAGAGTAAAAATAGATTACAGAATGATAACTCTCTTTAGGGACAAATTTTTGAATGACCAGTACAAGAACATGACTGTAAATTAAGCACCCACTCTCTCTTCTTTCATAGGTAATGGGTGAGGAATAACCAATTATGATGCAAAAACAAATACAATGATTAAAATAAAAGGCTGACATTGTACTAGTTCGTAAAAGAAAAAAAAAGGAGAAAAAGCTGAGGAAAAAAAAAGTAAATAAAAATAAAAAGGATTACCTATGGAAACCAGCATCCACAATTTCCCTCCTTCTTTTCCGAGACTGAACCATTGCGGCCCCGATAGCCAACCCTTCTTCATCCAGGCGCAGAGAAGGGTCCACAGACAGAGGCACCACCTCCACTCCATCTTTACCAACCTTTGCCCTCTCTTGCTTCTTTCTTTTCTTTGCCAGAGTGCTAGGAAAACCACCAAAATCATAGTCACTGTCGCTGTCTTCGTCTTCATCATCATCATCCTCTGCCTCCTCCTTTTTTTCTTCATCATCGCTTTCAAATTTCATCTCGTCATCTGAATCTGCCTCAAAACCATTACTCTTCTTCGTTTTCTGACTGTCTTTACTCTCACTCTTTGATTTCTCCTGTTTATCAGTTGTTTTTCTTTTATCCGAAGGTCCATTCGTTGAGCCAAGGTTTTCCAGGTCAAGATCCTCTCCAAAATCATCCTCTAAACCAGCAAAGGCGGCCTGAATAAAAAAAAATAAAAATAAATGCTAACACTCTTTGTTATCAGCATCAAAAGTTTAAAAAAAACAACATTGCCTCCTCTTCTGTTCAACACATTCGCGCCCGAGTTTTCCGTTTACGGCTATACCATTACTTTGAACACATAAATTTTCCACCCTGTCTGGGGAGACATAAGCACAAACACCTCAAATAGAGTTTTGTAAACAGTTTTTGTTTTATGCACGCTTGAAATAAATTGATCTGATAGATCTTCGGCTGGAAATTTGCGAGGCTACAAAGAGGTTATTCTAGCATCTGCGTTTGTTGGCATTTTTTGGTCCGCGAATCACAGCTGCGATTTTTGCATTTTTCCAACAAAAAACCATCGCCAGGAAGAAAAAATAATTTAAAAACAACAACAACACAAACGGGGGAATAACATACGTGAAAAAAAGAAAACGAAACTCTTTACTTTTAGAAAGCAAGTTTATTTTTACGTTCGCTTCACTTCATCTCTTTCTCACTTGTTAAGACCACGTTAATTTGTAATTTTCATGTGAAGAATATAAGTAGGCTACATTATATACAATTTATATTGCTGTTTCTCTTTCATGTTTCCCTCTTTGTTGTGTTTAATTTGTTGGTGTGTTAATTTTTTTCTTCTCGTTATTGTTTCTGATGTGTTGTTTTTCTAGTTTTTGTGAATATAAAGCATAATGTTCTTCCTACCTTTAAAAAAAAAAAAAAAGTGTTATGTTAGAACGTGTCTCCACCAAAACCGAATACTGACACTGGCAGGCCCCTTGTGTGTGATTCCATAATTTACATTTCATATTCTGTACTTTGTCTTGAATTACACGCGTTTAGGATTAAAACAGCTAGTCTATAGATGGGTTGACACACGCTTTTATTTGCTAATTTTTTGCGGTTGTATATTTACTATTCTAATTTGTTTTCATTCTTTTGTGAAAGCTTTACTTTTCACGTTTTTACACTCTGTGAGGCTACAAATGATATTCTGGATGCTTAAAACCAGTGCTTCCACCAGCTGAAGCTGAAAAGTAAGGAAAATTGTGCCGGGGCGAAGCCCCCGAAGGAATTGAAATTTAGTGCTTTTAGAGGGTAGAAAATTGCATATGGGAGCCTCTTTGAAGAGATTGCCTGCAAACCATAACATTTATTTTTTCACCAACATTTTGTCTTGTTTGATTTCTTCACCAAGATCTGCATAATATATTTCCATTGATGGCAATGTTTAAAAGCAGGTTCCCCTTCCATTGCTACAATAATTCAATTAATTTGTCTTCGCAACATTGATAGAAGGCAAACCAGGGAATAATGAATAGATATGTACCTTCACACTACAGTTACCCGACGTATACCCTAATTTTCCTTAAATGTCACGCCTGAATGTCGCATGTCCCAACCTCGGAACACCACTTCGAATTATTCTTGACTTTGGACACTTTAGTAGTAGTTGTAGGTTGGTATTAGCATAAATTTCTTTCATCGCAGCCCTCATCGCGCTCCCGTGCCGTAGAATCTTCGTATTGATCATTTCTCTAGATCTAGACAAATTTTAAAAAAAGTTACTTTATGATAGTGACAGTAATTTTCTGTCTAAAATCACAAGTCCATTTACTTTATCAACGCGCAGATTTTTCCAGCCGCGGCAACAATCCGAAGATAGACCATGGAGTTACCCCCTTTTAGTGTACATCTATGAGATAGACTGATGGAATGAGTGAATGACAGGGTTGCCAGACTAGGCAAAGGCCAGATTTCAATTGCGAAAAGGCCAAATCATTAGTATTGGTATACTATATAAAGGTATTTTTTACAAAAAGCAGCGAGAAAGAAAGAGATAGAGAGAGAGACAAAGAGAGAGAAGTAAAGTCTGGTAAACGTTGGCGTTTGTGAATTTATCCAACATTACACAACAAACAAACACTGCACTGTCTGTACGCACAACGATAACGAATGACGAAATAATGAATCAATTTGAAGAAATGGGCGCGAAATCGAACAAGCGAAGTTTTTTGGAACTCGGAAGTTTCACCGCTCCCAGTTTTAGGTCTAGATCTAGTCTCAGTTTCAAAACAAGTCCGTGTGCTGGAAGGTTTCCATTTTCTCTCTTTTTTATATTATTATTTTTGTTGTTGCTGTTGTATAAGAATGCCTAAAACGTGTATAAAAAGGCTAAAATATGAATTAAAAGGCCAAAAATGCTCGAAAAGGCCAACCTGGCAACCCTTGTGAAAGATAGAAAGGAGGAAATAGGCAGCAAAAGTTTGCCAGATTTTGATCAACCCACAGGTAAAAATATACTGCCGACAAGCCCGCAATGAATGCAAGGGGCATAGAGGATTAATGGCCGATTGCAGGAAATGCGCAATTTGGAAGGTTTTTATAACATTAACTTATTGCCGAGAGAATTACCGTAAATATCTGTAACTTACACTAGTACTAGACAATACGAAGGCGAGTACGGATCTTTTGCTACGGAATTTCGGTAGTCTACGCCGTCGTAGCTTTTTACGGAGGGAGTTGATAATGATGGAGGAACAAGTACGGAACTGGCAGAAAGTACGGATTTCCGTAAAAATATGGAAGAGTGGAAGCACTGTAAAACAGAGCACAAGAAATTCTAGTGTTTTAGATTAAGTTACCTCTATCAACATATTGGTATCTTATGTCGTCACGAAGAGTAGAAAGCTTGAAAATTAATGGCAACTTTTGGACAAAAAATGGCAACAAACGCAAATGCTAGGTTATTCCGTCCAGGAGCCACATTCCGGCAAGATGATCGTGTCTGGACTTGTGATGGAAAATTGGCAAGCCCAGACAAAATAACTCATGAGCGACACAATTTCTTTGACCCGAGTGACAAAATAAGAAGACAAATAACAGTAAAAGAGAGAAAGAGCAAGACAGAGAGAAAGAGCAAGACAGAGAGAGAGAGAGAGAGAGAGAGAGAGAGAGAGAGAGAGAGAGAGAGAGAGGGAGAGAGAGAGAGAGAGAAAGGAAAAGAAAAGAAGCAGACTTTAAAAAATTGTATTTTATATACAAACATTGACAAACCTTTTTAAACCACGCATTCTGTTTGTCCTTTTTAATCCTGCTTGTCTCCTCCATGTCAATAATCAGAGGATTGGCGTTTTCTTTAGAACTTTCTTCCTTCCTGAAAAACAAAGAAATATTAAAACCGTAAAATGGAAACACTCAGCAAACAGTTTGTAAGAAACATTCATTTTGAAAAGAAATAGGCAGGCAGCTCCTCTCTTTGATTTCTCCTCACCGACTTTCACCTAATTTTACTAAGAATGACCCACAAACTCCTATTTATTCCCATCAAGGCAAGACTCAAGCAAAGATCCTGTACTGGCTAATGACATAAAAATTTTCTGTTACCGCAAAAATAAAAAAGGACCACAGTTTATTCCAGCCTGCTGTACAGCTCTCCAGTAACCATGTGATTTCATTATTCTTTCCTCTGCTACCTTTCTGTGTGACCCTTTTCAACACATATCAGTGGACATTGTGAGGGATGCTTCAAGTAGGCCTACTGTCAAGCTGTATCCCAAAATTATTAGAACCAAAGAGAAAAATTGTGGAAACCCTCCCTCTGTTTTGAAAGAATTAAAGAATGAAACCTGACTAGCAGCCACCTATATAGGGCGCTTCAACATTAACTGAGTTGACCTTATAAAATATTTTGAAACACTACATAAAACATCAGGGGAAAGCCTGACAGATAAAAAAAATATTCAAACTATAGCAACAAAACATGGGCCATAAACGTTGTGGAGTAGTAATACTTACTCTGTGCTGTCATCCTCCTCCTCCTCCTCCTCCTCACTTCCATCATCAAACATCGGCTCCTCCTCCATCTCTTCCTCCTCGTCCTCATCACTTTCTCCACCTCCTTCAATGCCAATGTATTTCTTCTCATCTTTGTCAAAATACTCTCTCTTTCTTTTCTTCGGTCGCTCATCATCTGAATCTTCAAAGATGTCGGTGCTGTCCATGTGGCTCAGGTCTCCCTTTTCAACCTCAACCAGTTCCTGGAGGAGAGCACAGACCAATAATTAATAATAATAGATTTCATTTATATATATATAGCGCTCTATCCCACACGAGTATAAAAGCTCTGGGCGCTTCACATCAATCACGCGATCACTGAAAAGTAATAATTCATTCGCACAGGATGAATATTTCACAATAACAAGAAAAACCATTTCAATCACATAAAGAAGAACAATCACAACCACACGTTAATTATCATAAAACTATGACCCAAAATGGGTTTCACTTAGACCAGACACATTCTGAACATACAGAAAACTACAGCCGTAATTGTCCAAGATGGCCAGCCATTGTCGAGTAGAAAATTGGCCATCTTATACTACACATTACGTAAATTTTTTTTAAATGCAAGGGGGGTGGAGGAACATTGGGAATTGGTCGCTGTATTGTTTCTTGTCAGTCTATCTGGATTTTTTTTCCAGCACCGAAGGACCTTATCATGACAATGATTCTCATTTACTTCTTACAGAAAAATAAGATAAAGGCAAGTTTACTACACGAAGATGAGGAAATTTTTCATGTGATCTGTAATGAATTACAAGCAGCATAATGTTCCAGTCTCAATCAAACACAAAAAATCCTGTATGTATGCTTGAAACAGCACTACTTACTGTTTTACTTCTGATTTTCCTGATGTCAAAAATGTTCTCATCATCCTGAATATCCGGTCTGTCTCCAGGGATGGTCATCTTCAGATCAATCCGAGCCTTTTGCTTCATCTGAGCTTTGCGCACTTTTTTCTTGACCCTGTAAAATGCAGATGAAAAAAGAAAGGAAAAATCAAGTCAGAATTTTATCAAACCACTACTAATCCAGTTCCGTCCTCACTCCAATTAAATTGTAACAATCAAGAAAAACCATCACTGCATTGAACTAACATAAACAATTGAACCCCATCTATTTTTATGGTGCACAACAAAGATTTCATAAAGTATAAAATGCTGTATATCAAGTCTTTTCAGCCGGCTTTTATTTCCAGTGCTTAATGTAAGAATTGGCCATATGCCAGTTTGAAAAGTGAAGTCCTGGTACAGTGGAATCTTACTCCGAGCAGTTCATTTGTTGTATAATCTTAAGGAAGGGCCTGGAAAATTCCACCCCTTTAGTTTTAGAAATGTTTTACTGCACTCGCAACTGCATAAATTCCACCCCTAATCCCCAGCAACACATCAAATTTAGAGGTGTTACAAGAGCACAACAAACATGAAAAAGGAGAGATAAGGACGACAGAAGTTTTAAAGAAAGAAGGAGCAAACCACACCAGAGCACCCAACAACCACCCACAAAACTTGTTCACTACCTGTGATGATAGCTCAAAATATATCGTTTTATAATAAATCCCAATTTCTACTGTTTTCTTTCCAAATCTGATAAAAAAAAAAAAAAAAATTCTTAACAAACTTTAAAGTCTAAAGAGTCAACTTCTGAAGTAAGCACTGCCACTGATCACACATGTCAGTAGAATTTCAAGTTTAGAATCATTGACACAATGCTTAAGTTGACACCTGAACTGATGTTTTAAACTACAGTATAACCCGGATAGTTCTCTCTTCTTTATCCTTGTACAAAAATTAGGTGAAGCTCGAACACAAGCACGGAATAGCCGAACTAATTACGCTGCCGTAGAGGTCTAAAGTCAATATCCTTTGAGGTGCACTTGAGACAAAATAATAATAATAATAAAAAACGGCAAAAGGCAAAGTCAGTAAAAATAAAATACCCCCCCCTCCCCCGAAAGACAGAATCAGCTAGGCTTGTGTGGAGCGGGCAAGAGGAAGGGTTGTGCATCACACGATCGGCCGCCCCCACCCCTCGTTGCAAAGGACTGCGTGCTTGGTGGGAGAGGCGGGGTAGGGCTGCATTGTTTCGTCATCGCGTTGTTGATTACTATTGCAAATAGATCTATGCTTATCTAGTAAAACTATGTTTTGAAAAATTTGAAAAAGCACCGTTCGGTTAGTGCAGACTAAAGACTGCTCACTTTGACCAGCGCAATTAAACTGTCTTGGTACTGGTGGGCTCATTACCGATCGTACTCGAAAGCATTGCTCATCGTGTTTCTCATTCTCAATCTGTCAATTTTAAATTCTCTCAAATTTCAAATTCAAGTCAATAGGCAAAGATCTAACCTATCTGATCTAGGACAATAGCCGAAAAAAGAAAAATCTGTTCAGGCCCAATCTTTGCTGCTTTCCTTGATTCTCTAACACAGCTGATGCCATAACACTATTCATGTATCCCTTGAACTACAGAGGCTGGTCCAGGTGAATTCGAGTTATCCGTGTTATACTGTTCATTCACCATAATGCCAGTGCAGAGAAGCAGACCAAACCGTGGAACACATCCTCCAGAGGTGCAGACCAAACCGTGGAACACATCCTCCAGAGGTGCAGGACAAACCGTGGAACACATCCTCCAGAGGTGCAGGACAAACCGTGGAACACATCCTCCAGAGGTGCAGGACAAACAGGGTCCCAAGACAGGAAACGTGGCCAACCCCCTTGACAGTACAACAGAAACTATGGCTAACAGCACAACTGAGCAGGACAGCCCATCTACTGCACTTCAAGTGTGGTGCGATTGAGAATTAAAAGAAAGACACATAAACTCTCTCCTTACTTTTTCATGGCTTTCAGTTCCTCTTGATTCTTCGCCTCCAGCAGGTTCTCAAGCTCTTCCATTTCTGCCTCATCCTCTTGACCATCCTCCTGAATCTCCTCTTCTCCTTCCTCTTTAACATCACCAGAGACAGACGCCCTGCAGAGGACAGGAAAAAAAAAATGAAATAGAAAAACATAAAACAAAAAAGAAAGACCTCCCATGCCTTTACAACCCAAGAGAGTGACAATCACTTAAAAAGAGGAGTGGCACAAGGACAACAGATTTTGATAGGAAAGAAAGAACTACATCATAGCACCCGTCAACCATATGAGACAGAGACTCCTGAACATACAGCTCTACTGTCTGATGTTTGGTAGGTTCAGTAGAGAGATGCACATCCATACAATAATGGTCATTTGGTGCACGGAAAGAGTAAAAAAGACAGACGGAAACAATAGAGGGGAAAAAAAAAAAGAAGCTGCACCTACCAGTGATGTCTTCCAACCACCCACTTCGATCATTCAATAAATTAAACTAATCGCAACAATGGATTGATGCCTTTAAAAAACAAACAACAAATAAAACGAGACCCCCAATACAAATAAAATCCATCCCACTGCTCAATTGTGGTTTCCAAAATCCACACTTAGAGAAATTTTCTTGCATGCATATATGTGTGCATATTTATACATCCTCAGATTTCTTCACAGTCATAGTCATGGTGTCAGTCAGTACTTGTTCTACTAATGAACAAATGGATAACAGTGCTTTTAGTTTTAGTAGAGGTTTTACGGCGCTCGCAACTACATAAGGTCATGTGAGCGCCAAGGGGTGGATGTCAACAGAGAAGTCCTTATAGGGAATCAGGCTCACTCTACTCACATCTCTATCTTCAACAGCACAAAGTCTGCATCGACTATCAAGGCACCCCAGAAATAACGGGTCACAAGAGTGTGACAAACATACAAAAGAAGTAGAGGAAAAATGACGATAGTAAGGATTAGGAAAGAAAAAGCAGCAGTTTCCCTGTTGCAGTTCACGCACAGTTACGAGCAAGGCATTTATGAATCAGCCCATTTAAAATTCAACTGTTCATAACAACATGTTAATGCCCCCCCTCGGGAATGGCCTAAAGACACTTCAGTCAGTAGCCCTGCCCCAGAGGTAGATAACAGTGCATGTCTTTTTAGTTTTAGTAAGTTTTACGGCACTTGCAACACAGTTAGGTCATACAAGTGCCAAAGATTAGAGGTGTTACAAGAGAGTAACATACACAAAAGAGGAGGAGAGAATGAGGAAGGTAGATGTTTGATTGGAAGGGAGAAACAAATCACGCATGAGCACCCACAAACCACCACCAGTGCACACCTGCCAAACAATGAGATGGTTGAATCAGCTATACATTGGAAGATTAAGAATTTAACACTGGCTGTGTTGTACGAATTAAAAAAACAAAACAAGCACAACTAGTTTATGAAAAAGATCATCGCACCTTCCCTTTGAGAGGATCTATCAGAACTGTAACCTAAACTTACTCAAATTGTTGGGAGGATCCAGACTTCTCAAGCTCCTTCTTCAGTTTTTTCCTCCACAAAAATACGGACCTAATTAGGGAAAAACGTAAATGAAAAGAATGAGAGATTTACCTGTATAAGTTAGAGTGAAAAAAATTAATTACATGGTGTGCATAATGACAAAAAACTTTGCAGTGCTGTAGAGTAATATATACTTGCAAGACAAAAAAAGTTGAGGCTCGAAAGGCTAAAAAGTGACTTTCCATGAATTTTTTGTTTTTTTTGATCTATTGAAAGTTTAATGTCTTCTGCTTCATTTAAGATCATAATAAATAACTATAATCGACTATACATGTTTTATTTTGAAGGTGTGTGTGTGGCTTGTTGTGAGCTTGGGCGACAAGATAATGGAATTTGGACATCAAACCCTTTCCAACATTTGACCTGCTGGTGTGTAGCTGTGAGATTATTTATAGAACCATTACCTGATGGCCACATTGCTTCAACGTCCTTCATTCGCCCCTATTTTTAGATTTAGATCCCTTTATGAGCATGAATGGTCTGAAATATAAAGAACTTAGCGTCACTAAGAACGGCTGAGGGCTCTGATTTGTTAAACGGGGTAAGAACGGCAACACCTAGCCCACTTCAAGCTTGTTTACGTAAACAGCTGACTGTGAAAGCATGCCCTGCCAGCTCAGTTATGGGCTGTTGATCTTTCAGTTTTACACTTCGATTGACTTTAAAAGTTCATTTTTATTGTGTTTTAGTTTTTTTTTAAAGATTGATCTTCCTCTAGATCTCCCAAGGTGGACTCCTTACCAAAAGGCCACCGAGGCGGTCTATGTGCATGTGTAGGCGTATGTTTGTATTTGTGCGTGCTCGTGTATTTATAGTGCTATTGCAAACGTATAAATAGGAAGCGTAAACACGACACGTAAGCCGACTCTAGGACTTCTAAGCGCGTGGTTTCGGTGAAATCGATGTAATTCAGATCGCTTTCTCTTTGCTCTTTCCCTATAACACACCAAATGCTGTAAACCTTGAAAAAGTTTAGCTTTTTTTTGTTACAACAGCGTAATTTGTTTGTTTTTCCGAGTATTAGAAGCCAGAGAATCGCAATGGAAAGCGAAGCCCCTCACGGTCGGAATGAGGAGTCAGCTGGTTCAAAAATTGGCACCCATGCATTCTAATGCTTAGAAGAAAGAGTGATGATTAAATAACGTCTTTTCATTGGCAAACAACTTCTTTAGAGTTTTGAACGGGGCTTCCCCTGGTATATTTTTGGCCTTTGGTGGTTAAATAGAAAGCCTTTAAAGAAAAGCGTGCAAGTTTTCAAAGACCGTTTTTAGGACAAATTATGTAAAATACTGACTCAAAAAAGGTATCAATAGAAAGAACAGTTCTTTTTCTACAAAAATAAAGACATTGGCTTGGAATTATTTAGCACCAATCCTTCTGCCAAACTCCGGGGAGCACTCAGTATACTACAGTTGGAGCCGATTGGCTCGCTGCAGGGACAGGTGTGCCGCCCGCCGGGAAAGCCCTCTGTGTTTTTTAATCGAAATAACGACAGATCACCGTGTTTGAGGCAATAAAATACTCATTTGTAATGTTCTCAGTCTTGAAAAAAAAATAGGCTCCATTTCTTTGTTATGGTGATTGTTCTCTGTGAATGTGGAGATGTTTGGTGCACTTGGTACTCTTCTCTTTTTTTTATCTGTCCAACATGGGGTTGCAGCCAGTTAGCGAATTTAGCAATATCTGATTATATATATCAAATTAAAACAGTTGCCATTTTCTTAAAAATTGACAGAGAGGTAAAAGTATGGTACCAAACTTCACAGGCGACACAGGCCTTTCATATGGAACAGATAAATTTGACATACAGCAACTTTGAAAATTTAATTTCTGGTACCTGGTAGGGCCTACAATGCTAACCTGTTGTTGCATTTGACATGAAGACCATTCTCGTTAAAATTTTGTTTTGTCCATAAGCTTTTTTCTGCGAATGAATAGTTTTTTACTTCTGTGTGTTATCTTGTAGTGGCCTAGCCAAGACAACTGCCAAATTTCAAGTCTCTATCTCAATTCTAAGACCCGCGTTGCTATGGAAACATGTTGCTCAACTTCGGAGCCCGTTTTCTCCTTTTCGTGTCTCCACATCTTACATACTAAAAAGTTCCATATTTTCATCAAATACTGTCTTATTTACTTCATTTTCCCCCCCAAATTGTAGTGAAACAATGATAGTTTTAGGAAATTATGTTAACTAAATTTTGAAATTTCCTTCATATTGACTGGGAGGGTCACATTTACTTTTAAACAAATGCAGAACTCCAGTTAGAGTTGAACTTGAACAGTGACCAATTACTTATACCATACACCATAATACATACATGAGAAAAGTTAAAGTGACAGACTAAAGATAAGATTTCATCATAATCATCATTGTCTTTCTCACCCTGGACCAGGATAATGACTACCGACAAATATTTTCCACGATCTTGGGCTAGCTTATTGACATTATTCAACATCTTTCTCTGCGACTCTTCTACAGGTTCCATGAGGCCTTCTTTCCCTGTTTTATACGTGGTGCAAACATTCCACTACGCAATCCGGAGAGACTTGTTTAACTGAGGAGAGGAGGTTTTTGGTCAGCAGTCCTTGCTGCTTTGTCCAATGTCTTCCATTGGTCTTGCTAGTGCACAAACTCAGCTTTCTCCCAAAATCCATGAAAAATTTGGCATGTTTGCTTGTGCTTCCGTACCTCTCTTAGTTTTTACAGGGTTGGTAGTTAATAAGATTTGAATAAAGAAAGTGTTTTGCTCACTTACTTTATGTCTTTCTTTCCCAGCACTTTGATGTCTTTGATGCACTCCTTAATTTCTGAGGTCGTCAGAGGGTGATTCTTAATTTCTTCAGAGTCTAAGGCAATCTGCAATGTCAAAAGATAATGTGAGCTATGAGATATAAAACAATCTGTGAAAGTAATTGTGGAGGTATATGGCGAAAGGCTTTACCAAATAAATGCAAAACAGATGCCATGCCAACGACCAAGTCAAAGTAATGAAATACTTTTAAGTAATGAAATAGTTGTTACTACACTGTGAGATAAGATAGTCGTAAACTAAAGTGCAAGCAGCCGAATGAGATAACGTTAACTGCCCCTAATGACTCAATTTACATTATCCCAGAAACCACCACATGGTTTGACTTGATTGTCACAGCTTATTTGGGCGGAGCGGGATATAACATCCCGGAACACAGAAGAAGATACTCAAAAATATGTCTGCACTTGAGAATTGAAAAGCAACCATTCTGCCAAAGAACATCCCTCAAAACACGAACTAGCGTAAGCCACATTTTGTTAGTTTTGCAGGAGAGACGTTTAAAGATTTGGTCACTTTTCACTATCCCATTATGGCGTCAAACAGCCTATCCTGTCATTAATATTTTGACATAACGTGTGTGGGCCAACTACTTTTTTGTCTGATACGCTAGTACGTGTTACGTCAATGAAAGCCTCGATGTGTGGCTTACGTTACTAGATTGTTGGATACGTTAGTACATGCTTTTGTATTCTAAAGAGTATATATACGTTCATTGCGTGGCTTACGCCTAAATGGTAACTTCCAAATAATAATAAAAATACAAAGAATGATCAATTTGGTTTTAATTTCCTGGGCCGCATTATCCGTGACAAATGATAATGTTACAGTTAATAGCAACTTGGAATATAGACATCAACTGTATATATGATTTTAAAGAATAGTATCTCGCAGTTCCATGATATTGTTCCACGAAAATGAGTCTTCTGTATCAGATTTTCTTCGTGCGTCCACGATTCTGAAGTCCTTTGATAAGCCTTTGAGATCCAGAAAGCCTTTAGACTGCATCTGATTCACCAGGTGAGGCTTTTGAGGTCGAGCGAGAGACATCACTGTTGCTACCTGAGAAGGAGGGAACAAATCCCCAGCTCTCTTCAGGGCATGTCCTATTGCACTGAGTGCAAAATCACCATCAATCTGACGGTGGCATGTTTCAAAGAACCTCAATGAAATCTCTTCAAGATTCACACTATTGCTCACTGTATACAAAATCATCACAGGCGTAATCGGCCAAAAGAAAAGCTTTTTTGATGCCACGGTGAAATTTGCGAGGATCCACGTTTGTGTTTCATCCCAGGTGAAGCAGTGACAGTCTCTGTTAGCAATGTTATAGAAAATCAGGTTGTAGTTCGACAATCTCCTTTTGTAAAAGATGGCGCTCTCCTGAGATATAGGGAGGTAAATCACCTGCTGCAAATCAAAACTTGCACAGAGAATGTTTTCACTTTCCTGAGCTTCTTTCTTGCACATGCATACATCCTTTATTTCCCTGGCCTTTTTCTTCCACATGGATCTCAAACTTTTCCCAAAGACCTTTCTTTGTTTCTTCATTTCATTGATGATAACTGACACAAAGAGAGCACTGGTCTTTCTTGGGACGGCGGATAGACAGATTTTTACCTTTGAATACATGGTTGTATGTAGTGAAGCTTGGTGGCCTTGTCCTGGGTATCCATTCCTGGATGCACATGTGGTACATGTGCTGTTTGCTGAGTTCAGGGCTCAGATACTCTCATGTTGATTTTTCTCTACAGTAATGAGATTTGACTTTAGGAAATCTGTCCAAGTGATCTGATATATTGCTTTGCGCACAAATGCATCTCTTTCTCTTTCTGCCTCAGATTGTCTCCCACTTCGTTTGTCCTTCTCAGCTATACCAGTGGAAGTAACTTTGTTCAATGCCGTTTTGGCGCTCTGTTCTGAAATGCCCAAAGTGTTAAAGAAAAACAATTTGCAGACTGGAACAAAACTCTCCCCAACTATAAGCATGTACTGTCTGGTATTACTCCTTTGTGATTCGCCTTCAATGTATTTCTTCTTTGTTTACCAGCATTTGATATGCCTCACAAGAAAGAAACTCCCGTTTCATTCTTAGATCTCCAAGGGAGTGATATGAATAAAAAATAGCCTGCCTCTGCTCGTCGTGTCTCCTTTACAAAATTACATCTTGCTTTTATGTATTTGGCGGGCACAGTCTTTTTTGTCTTCATGCTTGTGTACTCTTGTCCCAAATTCCTCTTCATTTTGGCTTCCTTCTGCTTGTTTGATCTGAGTTTCTCTTCCTTTCTAACTTCTTTCTCACTTCCCTCCACTGTAAACTGCTCGGGAACTAATCTTTGCATTCTTCCACCCCCCTCATCAATGACTGTTTCCTTTGTCTGAAACTGATTGGGAGCATCAGTGTTCACATTCACACCAGCGAGAATCTTAAACTTTGAGGGCCTACGCACAGCTTTTACACGTTGTATTTTTTCCTTTGACCTTCTTGTGCTTTTCCCATGTTGAACACACGATGCAATCTCTTCATTGAAATGATCAAAGCAAAGAAGGATTTCACAATCAGGACAAGCCCCCCATACTTCAGCATTGCACCTTCTGGCCTCGCATGTTCCAGGATTGAATTCCGGATCGCCATCAGAGTCGTAGTCACACACTGACATTTCATCACTGTCTGCCTCACTAAGCATATCAGTGTCCTTGAAGTACATACGTGTATCTATTTGTCCCTTGAAGTTCTCAGTGGCAGTAGGACACCCATGACTTATGCCGTCTGTGAGTATAGTATAAGACTTCACCAGGGTTCTGAATGTCAATCAGAGTTTGAACAGTAGGGCTACAAGTCAAAGAAAGAGTGGTTGTTCAGAGCGGGATCCCATTTGTAAACAAAGGACGAGTAAAAAGGGACTTCTAGAAGTGGAGTCTGAGCATTCACTGCCTCACACGAAGCACACTGCTCACCTGTGTAGTTTAGCTTGTCTTCCCGCTCTCTAGAAGCGCTGCGCGATATTTTTTTGTCACAGGCTCAGCCCTGACTGTGAGGCTTACATTAGTATGTGCCGTATAATAAAAACACAACAATGGGTCAAAGTGTACTTCACGCACTAGTGTAACCAACAGTGTGTAAGTACGTGCTGTATCTTTTTGTGGGCAAGTGGGATACGTTCAAACTGGAATCGACTATATCTCAGCTATTTATTGCTCGATTCCTATGATCTTTTGAGAGGAAGTAGTATCGGATAAAGGGAATCGCGTGACTGGTATAACTCGATTTCGGGTCAGATGTGGCTCATGCTAGTACGTGTTTAGAGGGACGAGAAGCCCGTTAAATCACTTCCAATAAACACAGACCAAACGTTGGGGGAAAACAAAACCCCAGTCATGGTCCACTGCTCACCTCAGAGGACTCTGCAAGTAAATCCATGAAGTCCTCACTGTCAAAAAACTTTGTGACAGGAAGTGAGTGAAACAATGTGTAGTCTCCTTCTGGGTACCCCTCTCGCTGTCTAAAAGAAGCAAACAAAAAGAACACAATATAAATAAATTACGAGGGGCAAGCTTTTTTCTTCTATATAGTAGAGGGTCTTACGGCACTCGCAACTGCATAAGGTCATATGAGCGCCAAAGGGTGGGTGTCAACAGAGAAGTCTTTACAGGGAATCAGACTTACTCTGCTCACCTCTCTAGCTTCAACAGCACAAGGTCTGCTTCGACTATCAAGGCACCCCGGAAATAGCGGGTCACAAGAATGTGACAAGCATACAAAAGAAGTAGAGGAAAATGACAATAGTAAGGATTAGGAAAGAAAAAGCAGCAGTTCTCTGTTGTAGATCAGACACAGTTATGTGTGTGACATGATGAATCAGCCCATTTACAATTCTACTATGCTTGAACGAGAAATGTCCCCCCCTTTGGGAATGGCCTAAAGACACTACAGTCAGTGGCACTGCACTGGGGGTAGGGGCAAGCTGGTAGAAAGTAATCTTTCAGACTTTAAGAAAAATCAACGTATTTCAATATTCAGAAAAATGAAATAAGACAAGAAGATAAACTCTGAATGTCAAAACATTGGCACATTAGTTAAATGTTTCACTCCACACACACACACACACTCTCTCTCTCATCCACACAAACGGAAAGTTGAACTTGTCTAAGATGGCTACACATTGTAATTTGTTGAGGAAAAAAGTGTCCAGCTTACACAGTGACATTGTAATGTAAAAAAATGAAAAGGGGGAAAAGGGAAGTGGCCAAATGTACAGTTGATTGTCTGCTACAGGTTGCTGTTAGATATATATACACACACCTCATCCACAATGTAAACACATAAAGCTGAAAAGTGTTTTTATTACTTTCACAGTTCACAACTTCAATGGTCATTCTCTTACCTCTTCTTTTTCTCTGGATGAATCAAGTCAATAGCCACCCTCTGAGTTGTATCCACTTCTTTAAACACATGCTTGGGGTCCGTAAATTTCGGGTCTATTTTATCAGGTGCCAAGTAGCCCTGACAAACCACAAAAATTTCAGCCGACTCGTTTCTTGATGCCTGTGGCTTCGTGGCATGGACCTCTTTGAACAACTGCTGAAACACCCACATAAGGGCATCGTAATCCTTGGATCTGAACAGTTTGGTGACGAACCATCCTCCTTTCCGGAGGAAATCTGTTGCGAGCTTCATAGCATGAAGGGTGAGCTCAGCTGGGGAAAAGAAACACAAAACCCTTTTTTTATGTGTAAACATTCACATTCAAAAGCAAAAAAAAAAAAGATCAAACACCTTTACTGCATGCATTTTACTTGACTATCCTATGATCAGAAAGCAATTTTGTCTTTCGCGCGCTCATACGACCGTATGCAGTTGCGAGCACCGTAAAACTCTTACTAAACTAACTTTCATGTCTTTACCTCTTACTTTTCTCTTTATTGAACATTTAATGTGTAGTTCTTGAAAATATGTTTTGCCTATGTGTTCCATCTACAGGGACATCCTGTGGAAATCTTTACAGCTGCTCACAAGCCATTACATTTCAAGGGAATCTTAAGGACATACTTAAAATCAAAACATGGAAAGCCAATTTATCTTAAAAATTAAAAGTCCATATAAATTGTTTCACACCTTTACTACGTGAAACACTCACTTCCCCACCTCATACAAAATAGTGTAGATTCTTAAAATTACCTTGCTGATAGGCATCATGCACCCAGTTTTTGCCAACGTTTGGAGCTCCATCATTTAGAAAACAGTCTGCCTTCAGAGTGTGAAGTTCTTTCTTGATGACCTGCATTGATATTCAATTACCAAGTTTGTAACAATGAAACTAACAAATAATAATTCTTATTTTCAGATAAGATTTTAATACATTTGAGACTTCACTGTCTAGAATTTAAAACTGATAACCATTTTTAGTTTTGCCTTAATCTTAAATTTTCCATTCAACGAATCTCTGACAGAACTCACACTGTCAATTACAAATCAGATGCTACATGAAAAGAAATATTGAACATTCCTGCGCCCCCTCTCCATTCCCGAAACAAAAACATCTGCTCTTTGACTAATACCACAAAGTGAAATTTACTATCCCCACCCCATTAGGCCGCCACAGCTTTTCAAGTAACCAAACACTGTTATTATTTATCTTAATGTTTCTGTTTTAAATCTTCAACTTTCAGAAACATAAGGTCAGTACCTTTACTGATGAACACAAGGTGGTGTAAGGTTGTTTACAGATCAGACCTAAAAGGGAAGGGTATACATTTTAACAATGGGCATTTATGGGTCTCATTTAAATATTGAGAAATGCCTAAGCGTCCCACACAGCTTCTCCGAATCCAGCCAAACGTATCTACCCGTTGTGGTCCCTTTAACACTGACACGGCTCTGACAAATGGTAAAATTGTTGATGCCAACAATTTCGTGGAGGGGTTAAAACAACAGGATGGAATCAAGATGACAAACAACCATGGAAGTTAGGAATTCATGAGACGTTGCTCTCACCTGTCTGCATTTCTCTGTGGTGATGTCCTCTTGAAAAGTTTTCACATTGTGAATAGGCGGAATAGAAACCAAGTCAATACCTGAAAGAAGAGTAAGAGATTCATGAATTGACTGGGGACAAAAAAGAAGAAAAGAATGGAAGAATAGAAAGAGAGAAAAAAAAAAAAATTAAAAGGGTTAATATTTTCTCCATAAAACAATGGAATACAAATTGTACAGTTTACTGTGTGTAAGAGCTACCTCTTTTAATCCTTAAAGTACAGCCTTTTAATTCGCCAATGCCTTTGTATTCCTTGAAAGCAAAAAAAATATTTAAAAATCCCCAAGTGCCTGTGAAAAAACTGAAATTACCCCTCATAGCAAGACAAAACCTTTTGACATATACAGACCTGCCACTCTAAGAAATCTAAAAATCCGTATTTCAGATTTTAAAAAAACGGAACAACGGCAAATCAGTCATAAGGGGCACTGGGGAAAGTCCCAGGTCCTTTTCATGTGGCAAGCATGCAAGACAAAACTTTTGAAGGAACAAGTTCACAACTGGGCCTCAAAGAAGAGGAAATAAACTGACAGAGAGCATGTATTCGAGATTGAGTTGGATAGACAGGAGGAGCGAAGATTGCAGTGATGCTGAAACTCTCGTAGTCTTGAAAATAGCTTACACATAACTCTAACCATCCGTGCAAAGGCGCACTTTTTCATACAGTAACAACGTTTGACTTCAATCGCATTATTCAAGGCACCCCCCCCCCCAAACAAAAACCACGCCAAGGTTGTTCGTTTTTTATTCTTTCTTATTCCTTTATCCTCAATTCACAATTAGTACATGTATCACGGCACGCACTTTAAGCCCTAGTGTTAAAAAACCCCCAACAAACCCAACTCCCTCCCCCGGGTAGTCCAGAAAAATACTTCGACCAATGTGACTGGTGTGAATTATTGACCTCGACAACTGACAGCCCCCAACACACACATACGAAGCCATGTCACGTGATTCGAACGAGCGTTTAAAAGTTACACTGACAGGTCTTGATGTGGGCACGACTAACCAGAATTCGGATGAAACTTGCTTTTAAAAGTTAGTTTGAGTAGAGGTTTTACAGCGCTCGCAACTGCATAAGGTCATATGAGCGCCAGAAGATTAGATGTGTTACAAGAGAGTAACAAACATAAAAAAGAAGAAGGGGAGATAAGGACGATAGATGTTTCATAGGAAAGAAGAAGCAAACCAAAGCACCCGCCAACCACCCACGCTAATAAAAGTAACGGCAGAACAACGTATTGATTATTTTTAGGCCTATGTCATAATTGTTACAGTAATAAGGGCCACCATCGGAGAATTCTGGGTAACAAAGGCGAAAGTAGATCTTGAGAGTATCCAAGTCAGAATTCAAACTTGATACTACTTCGATTCTACGAGGGACGTCCAGAAAGTAAGTACCGTTTTAAAATAAATTATAAAAGAAATAGTTTTCCCAATCAAAACGATTTATTTTTGAATACTTCATAAATATGACTGCTTCTTCAAGTAGTCACCAGAACTGTTGAGGCATTTGTCGTAGCATGGGACGCGCTTCTGAATGCCCGCATCTTGGAAAGCTGCCGCCTGCTATGTCAGCCTATGTCCAGTCTCTCCTGTGAGATCAGCGTCTGAGTCAAAGTCCTGCCTGGCCAAAAACTTTTTCAAATGCAGGAATATATATATATATGGCAATACGACACACTGAAAATATTTTGCTTACCGATAATGTGATTAGACATTGGGGCATTTTCAGCAGCAACTTGCAGCCAGCCTCCTGGAGCTGCACACAAGTCAACAATGACATTTGAACGCTGCAAGAATTCATATTTCCTGTTCAGTTGTATGAGCTTGAACGCAGCTCTTGACCTGTAACCTGCAGAAGACAAAGAGATGATTTTTTCCCCAAAAAGCACATGAAAATCAATGAATGGGAACAAATATATTGAAGAGAGTACTGGTGGAACACAAAAAATGTGAAAACATAGAGGTGAAATTATTGCCTCTTTGAAAAGAGACTCTCAGTTCCACCTTTCCTCTCTCTATTTACAGTATCCTGTTTGTGCTAATATTCAAGAAACATATCAAAACATTGTACATGCAGGGTTTTCCTTTTCGGGGTAACTTAAGAGGTTCCTTCACCGCATGGCTTTCTATTTGAAGGTCTGAAAGGGTATTTAAACCTTTGTGTAAGAAACATTAAGAGTTGTTTTTTTTGGTGTTCATGTCTGACAAACTAATCCTGAAAAGTCAATTACCCCCTAATTTTATAGTACGAGTTTTTGCATGTAAACATCTAACTCACATGCACACACAGAGTGATCATGACTATGATTGAATGCTAACAATTTTTAATTAACCGTAAGGTTTCATTGTAACAACAAGAAATAAACGAGTAATATTGACTAGAATTAGAGTTGTATCCATGTGGAAA